CTGTTTGCAAGGCATATTCTTTTCCATCCTTTTACTTTCAACCTATATATATCATTGACTGTGCAGTGAGTTTCTTGTTGGCAGTATATAACTGGGTCATTTTTTGAATCTGCTCTGAAAATCTCTGTCTTTTGATTGTTGTATTTGGACCATTTACATGTAAGGTAATCAATATGTTATTACTTAAGTCTGCCGTTTTATTATTTGTTTTCTATTTGTTTCCTCTCGTTCTCATTTCTATGTTTATCTTTTCTTATTCTGTGAGTTACTTGAAAATTTTAGTAGTATTCCATCTTGATTTATTTATATTATTTTTGATTGTTTCTCTTTGTAAAGTTTTCAGAGTAGTTGCTATGGGTATTACAATATACATACTTATCACAATCTCCTGGCACCACCATTTAAATACTTCAAATGAAGTACTGATACCTTACTACCATTTGGGTCCCTTGAAGTTCCCCACTTTTAAATATCATTGTCTTGAGTATCAGATGGTTATAATTTTTGTTTCAATCATCAAATATGATTTATAAAACTTAAGGGGAAAATGACAGTGTAAGGATTAAATTTATGTGTCAAACCTTGACTGGGCCATGGGGTGCCCAGATATTTGGTTATTCTGAATTCTGTCTGGGTGTTTCTGTGAGTTTGTTTTGGATGAATTTTAAATTTAAATCTATAGACTGAGTAAAGCAGATTGCTCTCCCTGATGTGGGTGGGCCTCATCTAGTCAGTTGCAGGCATGAATAGAACAAGAGTCCTCCTGTTCTTCCAGAAGCTGAGATTTAAAGGTTTTGAATTCTAAGCTTAGTTTAAAGAACTGCCAGTTGTTAGAGGTCAGTCACTTCTTATTCAGAGAAATGGCTTAAGTCTCAACCACCATGCTGTAGACCCCATTCCCACCCTTACCAACCCCTACTCTATAATAAGGCTGACAGAGAAGAAGGAAAGTTACCTCTGAAACTGACAGTTCTTGGGAAGTTTATCTCTACTACCACAACTTTTCTCCTTTGTGGGGAAGATGGGATACCATTTTTCTCTGTGTATAAGTCTGCTAGGGCTGCTGAAACAAAAGCACCACAAACTGGGTAAAGATATATCAGTCACGGAGCGCCTGGGTGGCTCAGTTGGTTAAGCGACTGCCTTCGGCTCAGGTCATGATCCTGGAGTCCCGGGATCGAGTCCCGCATCGGGTTCCTTGCTCGGCAGGGAGTCTGCTTCTCCCTCTGACCCTCCTCCCTCTCGTGCTCTCTGTCTCTCATTCTCTCTCTCTCAAATAAATAAATAAAATCTTTAAAAAAAAAAAAAAGATATATCAGTCACAGTTCTGGAGGCTGGCAGTCCAAGATCAAAGTGTGGCATGGTTGGTTCCCTCTGGGGACTCTGAGAGAAGGACTGCTTCCAAATCTCTCTCCTTGGTTTGTAAATGGCTGTCCTCTTCCTGTGTGTCTACCTCATCTTTTCTTTTTGTGTGTCTGTATGTCTAAATTTCCCCTTTTTATAAGGCTATCAGTCATATTGATTTAGGGTCAACCTAACTCTAATGACTTCATTTTAACTTAATTTACTTTGCAAAGGCTCTATCTACAAATAGGGTTACATTCTGAAGTACTGAGGATTAGGACTCCAACATATCCCTTTCTGCGGGGGGGTGGGGGGGCACAATTCAGCCCATAACACTCCATAAAGCCAAGCAATGGACAAAAAGGGAAGATTGGCATTTTTTTCCTTGATTAAGTACCTACTTTGTCAGTGGACTTCCCAGTCTCCCCTGTGCTACCTGAGCAGGAAGAGAAATGTGGAGGAGACCCTCACACCCCACTCCACTTCTACCTGCCCGTGCCCCAACAGCTCCAGAATGTTAGTGGTTAGATGTATTCTGTGCATTCCCTCAAGCCCTAAGAGTTGATAAATACATAGATAAGAATAGACACAATCTTGCCCAGGACTGCCACAATGTGGGAGAAAGAGGCATACACAATTGAGGAAGGGTGTTTTGCTACAAAGTGGGGGTAAATTGAGATACAACTAAATCTCAGGGACTCCCAATGCCTGAGGGACATTTTGGTGGAGTTCTTCATCCACAGGCTCTGCCAGGAGCACTTGTGACCCAGAGACCACCAGAATAGCAATCTCCTATCAAGAACAGCATTGCAATCTTGCCTAGGCTGTAAGATAAGGCCACTTCCACCCCTCCATCCCTCCATGGGCAGAAGGGCAAGCTGAAGCAGGGGAAGCTGAGAGCTAACTGCATCCCATCCTCTACTCTCAACTCCAGGGTCTATCTAGCCAAATCTTAATTTGGCTCTGACATGGATGTTTTTATAAATAGAGCTGAGTCATTTAAATCAAAGTCCCTCTGAATATACAAAAGTGAGAAGTTATGGGCTGAGAAAGTGTTAAGGGAACTGCTATGCGGCAGGAAACAGACGTTTGATAGATCAAAACTGAAGAAAGTGACTGGAAAAAATAAAACCATGTCAGTCTTGCTTCTCGGTGAGTTGAGACTAAGCAGTAGATAAGTGCACATGTACACATAGCACTATGGTATATTCCACCTTACTTCCTGCTGTTTCAATTAGCATGATATCATGGACAGATTCCCCTGTCATTAGGTATTCTTCAGAAATTCAATTTTTAATGACTCTAGTTTCTATCGTTCATCTTATAAATGTACTTTAAGGTATTCAACCTTTCTCCTATTGGACATTCGGGATATACTTAATATTTTGGAATTATAAATCATGTCATGATCATCTTTGTACATACATCTATGTCTAAGAGAAAAAGACACTGTTATACCCACTTTTTTTTCAAATGGGAGAATTAATGTTAACCACTTTCAGAGATTAAGTGACTTGCTTTCATCATTTGCTAAACCCATCTTTTGACAATGGATAATTGACTATATTATCAGTGTATGAAAGTTGACCTTTATACCTAATGTACAACTTGAAAAGCTGACTCATTTTGTACCCATCTTTCCTATATATTAATATTGCCTTATACTAGATGATGAGCTATATTTTACTTGTAGAATATATCCATAATATTCTGTGTATGTCTTAGCTAAATTTATGTCATCTAATTTCATTAGCATGGAGAAACTCATGAGTTGGAGCTTTACATGTCTATTTTCAAAACCCATCAAAGTGAGATAGTTCACCATGACAGCAACAATTTGTGACCACAAATATATTATAGCACACAGGTCTGAATTTAACCTGAGTGTTACTGCATGGCAGAAAATAGCAGCAAAGTAGTGACAAAGAATAATGGCTTCACTATTAACTAATTAAATATGGTTGGAATTCTAGATCTGCCATTTCCATGCAATATAACCTAGACAAATTATTTTATCTCTCTGTGCTCCATTCCTAGTCTGCAAATTAGGGATAATCGTAGTTCCTACCTCAGGGTTGATGAAAGGATTAAAGGAGAAAATTCCCAGAAAGGACCAGAAAATGGCCCATAAAATATGATCAGTTAATGTTAGTCACTCATCTCACTAATTAGAAGTTACAGGTTAACCTCCATCTAGACATACATATTTAGGCTCTGACAGATACAATTCACACCTTTACTCAAGACTATTTGCTCTCTGATTCAGATATAAAACAATAAATGAGTTTTTAACCTGACACCAACTCTATCTTACTATGTATATACAGATACATTAATGCATCTGTGAATATTTACATTATCATCATAATAAATAAAGACAAAATGGGGAAGTAATTTTTCACTCTTATAATAAATGTGTATCTTATAACCTCGAAGTTCCTTTAAGTTCTTCCACAGCATGCTAAGTAACTACTGACTGGGGAAAATAGTTTAATGAAATTAAATCACACATCGAGTAAAAAGCAGTTAGGTTTAGCTTGAAATGCAAGAATTATTTCTTCACAGCACACACACAATTTTCACTAGAGCTTAATATGGGTCATGGCATAACTTCACAAAATCAAAAACCATGTACCAGCCCCAAGTAAAATTTCAACAAATGGCTTCTCTGCAGCATCACGTTCCACGGTGAAGCCTCGCTCCCAGGGTCTGCTAGAGTGGAATTTGGAGCTCTTCCACCACATTCAGAAGGAGGCTTCTCTTGATCTCCCACGTACACCTGGGTAGGACACTCCCTATTTGTAGAAATTTTCACCCCGGATCACAGTAAATTTCACATCTTCTTTAGTTGTGTCCTAGTGGAGATACCCAATGACCAGCAATGGGGAGGAGGAAGGGCTGCCCAAGGATAAGATAAAGAATTTGAAAGACTATTTCTCAGATTCAGGGCAGATGCAGGAAATGTGACAATTTCTAAGCTTCTGCTTCTACCCACCCACAGGACAGGGTGAGAGATGAGAGAGGAGGCAAGAAGGTGCTTGCACCGGGGCCAGAGCTCAGAGGTAAGCCTTGTTGGTTTTGGCAATGCCTGCTCCTATTGTTAGAACACCACTGGCACACTGCTGCCAACTCCCTAAAAGAATGTAACATGTCTACCGCTCAGGATTAATGCTCCCTTCCTGCATCACGGGATGTTACAAATAAAGCTGTCGCTTTTTATATACTATCAAGTAGTACACTACCCTATAGAAAGCAGATGAAGAAAACCCAAGAAAGCCTAATTTTGCAGAGAGGGGGAACAAAAAAGTGACATCACTGATCTATTTTAAATACATTTCAAAATACATTAGGATGTGTTCACACCCTATGGGGAGACAGGACCAAGTCTACGATCCAATACACAACATTGTGTGTGTGTGTGTGTGTGTGTGTGTGTGTATAATGTTTGATTCTAATATAATATATATGAATTTCTTACACAGGCACACACACACCCAGAATTAACCAACAGCTCTTGGAATTAACTGTAGGGAAAAGAATACATATTAGTGTGCTGGTAGCTCTACAGTGAAAGATACCTTGTTCCAAAGCCTTCCTTTTCTAGAACAGCGGCATTTCTCCCAGCAGCTCATGGAGCCCTGGGCGCTCGCACCTACCTGCGCTGGTGTTGGTGCTGGGGCTGGCCAGGAGCTGCCCTGAGCCCTGAGCTGGCGGCGGGGGCTGCCCATCACTCAGCTGCTTGACTCGTTTGCGATGGGATTTGCCATTGTAATGGACTTGGGCCTGGGCTGCAGAGTTTAGCTGGATGTTGCACACCTCACAGAAGGAGAAAAGAATTTTCTTTTTCTCTTTACTCAACTGGTCCTCAGGCCTGTCATTCTTTATCCCCTTTTCTTCAAAGCCCCGTAGAAAAGTTGCCATATTCATAATACCATCTTCAGGGTAATTGTTAGGGCTTAATGAGTACTTCATACCTAAAAAAAAAAAAAGTACAGGTGCTTGCAAAATACATGCTTTCTGATTTTCTAGTATGATTACAAACTATTTTCATGATTTAGGATAAGCTAAAAGTCTTCTAGCTACTCAGTGGACACTCTTTGAAAAACTTATCAAAACTACCTGAGCAAATATGGTCTTTGAACATGTTTCCTCTGTCTGGAGTACTTCCTCCTTTATCCTCGCCCCACCCTCCCTCCACCTCCAGATTCTTTTGCCCTTTCTAACTGCTGCCCACCCTTTAGATCTTACCTGGAGTACTACCCTCTCCAGGCAACCCGTCTGACTTGGAGCCAAGGCGGATCCCTAGTTACATGCTCCCATAGTGCTATATGACCTCCCTTCAGAGCATCCCTCACCGTATGCACGTCATATGTATTTGTGCAATTTGGTTAATGTGTTTCTCTGATACAGTATGAGCTCTATGAGGGCAATAACCTCATTTCCGGATGTCCCTTAGGCCTAGAATTGTACTTTTTACATAATAGGCATTTAAATACCTATTGAAGGAAAGAATAAATGTTATGAACCCAGAATTGTGAAAAAGGGTATACACACAAAGGTATATATAATACATGCACACCTGCCAATAGACCTATGCCCTAACCCAGGGAGGAGGTGAATTAACAAAGATTAAAACACAGTATGTCTGCAACTTACATAAAGTTGTGTTCCAGAAGCCCCTTTATAAGTCAGCCAATGGGAATTTGAACATATTTTCTTATAGTTGTAGTGAAACAAACTGTATTTAGGTTTCCAGATTAGCCCATAAATATCAATTTAATTTTTGATGAGGTTGAAATGCAGAACATCTGAAATAAAAAATAAAAGAAATACAGTAAATGGTAAACTAGGAATTGAAAAATAGAAAAAGAGTAAAGAGAACTAAGATATAATTTTTGTTTATTTTTAAGTGCTGATTTTTTCCTTCATTTAGTTAGATAAGGGCATAGTGATTGATTATAACTTCAGGGAAGATTTTAAAGGAGACTTTTCAGTGAAGGAGATGGCCTTGGCTTTTTATTTTCTCAGTTCCACTTTAACATATGTAACTTTTAGATTTTATTTAATACCACTATTACCAGCATTTTTATACTTTGTTAGAAAAACTCAGATTTTTTCCTTCCTAAGGAGGAAAGTCACTTTACTGGTCACACAGAACACTTCACTTCTGACCCTTCTGGTCACCAAATGTATGGAGGTTTTTTCCCCAAGCCAAGCAATCCTCTGTGACACAAGCTGGGTGTTCTTCAGCATAAGTCAATTTTGACACTGCGTACCCAGAGATAGCATCAGATCCCACAGGTTAAGGGCTCAATCCCACAAGACTGTCTCCCCACCACACACACACACACACACACACACACACACACACTTCAGACACCTCCCAAGCCCAGCCTTTCACCTGTGTTTCTGACCAACCCGCTCTATAGCGGAGGTTCCAACAACCCCCTCCTTGGGTTCGATTAATTTGCTAGGGTGGCTAGGGGCGCCTGGGTGGCTCAGTTGGTTGAGCGACTGCCTTCGGCTCAGGTCGTGATCCTGGAGTCCTGGGATCGAGTCCCACATCGGGCTCCCTGCTCGGCGGGGAGTCTGCTTCTCCCTCTGACCCTCCCCCCTCTCATGCTCTCTCTCTCTATCTCATTCTCTCTCTCAAATAAATAAATAAAATTTAAAAAAAAAAATTTGCTAGGGTGGCTATAGAACACAGGAAAACAGTTTACTTATTATTCCCCGGTTTATTAGTAAAAGGATATAATAAAGAATACAGATGAACATCCAAATAGAAGAGATGCATAGGGCAAGGTATGTGGGAAGGGCTTGGAGCTTCCATGACCTCTCTGGGTGCACCACTCTCCCAGCACCTCCAATGTTCATGAACCTAGAAGCTCTCTGAACCTGTTCTTTTGGGATTTTATGGAAGTTTCATCAAGTTGGCATGACTGATCATTTACTCTATTTTCAGCCCCTCTCCTTTTCAAGAGAATCAAGGATAGGGCTGAAAAGTCCAAGCTCCTAATCATGGCTTGGTGGCCAGCCCTTATGCAAGAACCACCCAGAAGCCCACCCAGAGTTGCCTCAATTGGACAAAAAGATATTCCTATCACTCAGGAAATTACAAGGGTTTCAAGAGTCCTGTGTCAGGAACCAGGGTCAAAGACCAAATATCAGAACAAAAGATGTTCCTAGTGTTCTTATCACTTAGGAAATTATAAAGGTTTTAGGAAAAGCTCTGTACCAGAAACTGGGGGCAGAGACCAAATATATTTTCTATTATCTTGCACATACTTCTCAGTGTGATTATGGCAATGCTTTTGCTTCTCAACTAAAAAGACACACTCATAGAAGAAAGAAGAGAACAATATTCATGCAATAACTGGGTAAAAACTGAGGGAAAAGGAGTATGCATGAGAAAGAATTGGCTGAGGTGAACAATACTGTGCCATGAGGGATGAAGAATTCAGATAAAGAAAGGATTATGGCTTGTGAGGGATTCTTGCATATGGGAGTAACTCAAGAGGTGGAAGGACATTGGCTTTGAGTAGTTCTGTTGATTCAAGTTGACTTAGAGCTCTGTGAAAAGGAAGGAGCATCTACAGACTAGTCCATATTTGGAGTGTTCATCTCCTGAATATTTAAAAATCAGAAAATGAGTTATAGCACAGGGTATGACCATAAAGATAGAAGTTGATTCTGTGTATACAGTGTGCCAAAAAGAACTTATTTATACCCATACACCCTATGGCAAACAGCCATTGTGCAATATACTGTAGCCTAAATCCTAACCTTCAGTGAGTTGTTAGGATATTACTAATTTTGGGGTGCCTGGGTGGACCAGTCGGTTAAGCATCTGCCTTTGGCTCAGATCATGATCCTGGGGTTCTAGGATCAAGCACCACATCGGGCTCCCTGCTCAGTGGGGAACCTGTTTCTCCCTCTCCCCCTCCCCCTGCTCATGCTTCCTCTCTCTCTCTCAATAAATAAAATCTTAAAAAAAAAGAAAATTGCTAATTTTGATATGTAAAACCTATTTGTCCCATAAATATTTTATCCTGATGTCACCATTTTAAGGAACTCTATTTCACAAAATTTATTTTTAAATTTACTCAAATTATACATAAATCAGGTTTAAGCAATTCCCATAGCTGAGTTGCAGAAAATAATTCAGTTATACTTAAAATGTGATTTAACTGCATATACATCAATATTTTTGCTTGTATTCCCTAAATCTAAAACATTATGGTATCACAAAGCCATTTTTCTCATAAAACTTTAAAAAATATCAGTGACATATAAAAGTTATATTCAAACATACTATACTTTGTGTCCTCTCAAAATATTAAAATTTATCATAAGAATTAACTGAACTGATAGAAATAATTTAAAAATGAGCTCATCATTAATATATTATGCCCTATCTAGAAAACTAATACATTGTAAAACATAAGGAAAACCAATCATTTCTAACCTTGCAAGGCTAGGTCAGATACCAACTCAATGAATCATTGAAATCTAAGTGTTATATTTCAACCCCAGTAACCAAAATCCTTGACTCAGCTAAGGACTGATGACACTTTCATCTGAAAATTTAACCCAACTTGGGAGGTGGCTGGCCTTGCCCATGTTGTCAATTAACATATGATGTTTCACAGAAATAAGACCTACATCACAATGTTCCATATTAAATGTGAAATCTAAAAAATGACTTCTTTGTATTATCTTATAAAGGATAAAACCAGCTTACCTGTGACTTTCTGATTGCCATTTGTCTTAGAAATACATTATGTTTTAGACTTACTTAAATATACATATTTTAACTAGTAAGAAAGAAACCTTTAAATGAAATGAATGCCCATTTTAGAATTCTTCTAAACTTCTTCAGAATACCAGCATCATTCATAATCTTTATCCCTATTTTACTTTCTCTCAGAGTTATTCTCACTTACACCACATTCATGGGTCACTCCAGAAAGGATGCATTGCCTAGCAGATAGGGTGCAGTCTGTCTGCCATGTCCCGATTTATTAGTCCTAGCTCTGGCTTCACACTTTTCCCCTCTTGGGAAAAATATCTGCAGCTCCTCTTAAGAGCCACTTTCAACCAGAATATATTTCATTCCAGAAGTCTTGAGAAAAAGACTTAGATGTGGTAGAGAGGTAAGATATCAAAATCTCAACATTCACTTTTGGCCTGAGATGATAAAATTTCTAGGCTTATAATATGTGGCAGTGATATTTATAATGTCAATTTCCTGGCTAAGGGGAAGGTAACTGTGAGTTTAAATGGAAGAAGAAAGAAAAATCTCACTTTCTATCTTAAAGGTTTTTTTAAATCAGACTATCTTAAATTACATGTTTCACTTACATAGGGCAAAAGGACCTTCAGGGGTATCCAGTTTTAAACTGAGCAGTGGGCAGCACTCTGCTTTGGAATGCCATGCAAACTTATTGGAGGGTAAGAGAAGCCAGAACCAGTTCAGGTATTCTATGCTCTGTTTGTATGATTTTAACAGATTAGATGGCCAATCATTTAACATCCATGAAAGAATAAGATATTTTGGAACAGGTCAAGGAATGAGAAAGTTGGTCCTTGAGTTGCTACTTTTGAGGAAAAGAACTGATAGGATAGTCAGTGACTATTTAAAGGAGTGACTTTTAAATGACCAGGATGTGGTACATCAGGAAACTTTTATACCTAACTTTCTCTTAGGCCTGGCTCTGACCTGTGTAGTTACCCAATTGCTTTTTATGATAAATAGAAAATTTATTATAATAATTATGATAAATCAGGAAACTGATTCAGAGGTAAAGACATCTCCATTATGCATGTGGAGAATACATTCCTTTACACAAAGTTGCCACAGCAGATAGAGAACATGGGAGGAGATCTCCTCACTTCTATATAAGTATGAAAGACTGTCCCACCCCATGGATTATCTCATTTTCCAACTCAAATCAATCAATTTTATCCAATTCTCATTCATTCCCAACCTATAACAACCTGGATCATAATCCTTTCCCAAATTTAGTCCTTCTCTTTGAAAAGTCACTATAACACTTCCTAATTGCCAAATCTAACCTGGTCCTCTCCTCACTCCTCATTTTTCTTGAAGTCCTCACGATGCTCCTTTTGCCAGGGTCTCTTCTACCACTGCACTCCTGAAGCATTGTCTTTGCATAGCAAGCCTGGAACCCAACCCTTATAGTACCATTTTAATTATTTATATAGTTTTATTATATTTACACAATTTTAGTTGTGCCCTCAAGTTGATTGACTATCCAGGCAGAGGACTTGATGCTAGGGAAACAATAGCAAACAGGGTGGATGAGATGCAAACCTGAAGGGACTCCATAGTCTAATGAGAAATACAGAGGAGAAAACAGGAAATTATAACCAAGTGTGATAAATGCTGTGGAAAAGTCTGCATTTTTCTTCCTTGCTAGATTTCAAGCTCCTTGAGGTTAAGAACTGGGCTTTGTTAGTCTTTGTATCCCCAGCATCTAAGACTGTGTTTAGTCCAAAGCAGGCACTCAATAAATATTTACTGAATGAATGAATGCATTGTTTGTATGTGTGGTGTGTAGCATGGGTTGTGAACACAGTAACCAAGGTCAATGTTTTCCAATAATTTCAGCTTACAGGTGGGCTGAGTACACAGCTGTTTGCATCTTGAGGTTTCAAAAACAGTAGTAACCAGGTACTCCCAAAAGGAAAAAAAAATATAACCACTCAATTGCAAACTAAAATCTCAATTATTTAGGGCAAACTCCTTCATTCCTTAACTGAAAACAAAATTTAAAGTTCAAATTCT